CTAAGTGTTGGAATAGCAAGTCGATATATGGAGGAGTCAAGGTATACTCATTGGAAGGCACTAAAGAGAATTCTAAGGTATGTGAGAGGAACAGTGTCACTTGGCCTAATGTATACTAGGACGGATGATTATCGACTAGTAGGCTACTCTGGATAGTGACTCGGTGTGGAGATGTTGATGATCTGAAAAGCACGTTTGGATATGTATTCTTCATGGGAAACACAACATTCACCTGGCTTTCAAAAAAGCAGCCCATTGTAACGTTGTCAACTTGTGAAGTCGAATACGTTGCAGCATCCTGGAGTGTCTGTCATGCAGTTTGGCTTAGAAACCTTCTAAGCAAGCTGGAGTTGAAGCAAGAAAGAGGGACTGTGATTCGAGTTGATAACAAGTCGGTCATTGAATTGGCAAAGAATCCGGTCAATCATGAGAGAAGCAAACATATTGATGTTCGGTTTCACTTCATCCGAGAACAAGTGAAAGAAGGAAATGTGGAGTTAGAGCACGTCGGAACCCGAACACAAGCTGCAGATATGTTCACGAAGCCACTGCCAACCACTCTGTTCGAGAACAACAAGAAGATGCTTGGAATGAAGGACAAGAAAAGCATTTAAGTTTATGGGGGGATTTTGTTAGGTAAACATTAAATGCATGTAGTTGAGAGGTAGTGGTTATAGAGGTAGTAGTTGAGAGGTAGTTGTTGTATTGAATGTATGTAGTTGAAAGGTAGTAGTTGTATTAAATGCATGTAGTTGAGAGGTCATATCCAAAGGCCTACAAATTGACCATGCATCACTCATTGCAAACACATTAAGTGATAATATACAGAGTGTTTTATTTAGATACTTATTTGTCAACAAATATAATGGTCCTTTAAAAGCATTACGGAGGCTAAACTCAGGTTGGAAATAACCTCTCTCTAACAAATCAAACTGATTGTAGTTCCTCCAGATTATTCACGAGCGTTGAAATTAACAGGAAAGGTCTATAATAGTAAAGCCAATTGGGAATGCATTATGGGAACTCCTTCATGCTGTTGAGACGTGGACGTGCAAAAGATATATAGCTACAGTACGTTTGATTTGATGGAAAAACTTAGATATATTTGCTAGATGGATAAGCTTATTTATAGACTCTTAGCACGGCCTCTGGTGGAAAACCTCTACATGCTTATGTAGTTCTAGAATAATCAATTTGCATACTGTTGTCGAGATAATATATTTTATTAAGATTATTTAAAAAAAAATGATCACCCAGTTTAACAATAAATTTTGGAAATGACATCTTTCGTTTCAGGGTTTAACAGGTCAACATATAAATCAGTACACAATTTAGATACAAACTCCATTTGATAAGAAAATATGGTAGTTAAGTCTATAGCAGTATATGAAATTCCCACGATTGTTTAGTAAAATTTACAGAAAACAGTTTTGTATAAGCTGCATTTGAAGAGAAACAAGTGAAAAACTAGACACAAGCATGTCACTCGATGTGTTGTTCGACCATCAACTACTAATAGCAGACTTATTGGATGGTGCCAAAATTCTGTGCAAATTCCTTGTTAGAAGTAAGCAAATCTATTGTTCTATATCACAATTCTATCCTGACAGAAAATTCATTAATTTTTAAAAACTCGTATCATGTCTGTGTACACGACCATCTTATGCATCTATGACTTTCAGTAGTAGACATTATTTTCGAGGCATGGTTAAGTATACAAACCATCAATGTAAAGAAAACGTGAGATGTTTTCAGGCAAGTCTAAAACAAAATACAATGCGATTTCAAATTTACAATGGCTACATAATTGACAGGTTCTCCAACATGTACACATCGCAGTGCTCATCATGTTGGCACATCTTACAGAATGTAGGACACATATTTATTTTCTCTGTCAATAAGTCATTATCCTTAGTTTAAGTCTCCTAAGACAATATCATGTGATCCCTTATGAACCTTGTCTGTTTGTATCCTACTTGAACTCTTCAAACGTCCAATCCACTTCTAAGTTTTACAACAAATAGTATCCACAAAAGCTTAGTTCATCTATATATACTCGCCACTTCATTCACAAGAAACACAACTCAATTTCTCTCTAAAATTGTCTGTGTGTTCCTTCTTCTACGAGTTCTTTCTCATCATTCTTTACTTCCCTGGTATCAACTAAAACAACACAATGGGTTTCCGTTTACCTGGTATTAAACGAGCATCTAAGGGGGCTGAAATCCCAAAAGGCTATCTTGCAGTCTATGTTGGAGAGAATATGAGGCGGTTTGTGATTCCTATATCATACTTGAACCAACCTACTTTTCAGGATTTATTGAGTCAATCAGAGGAAGAATTTGGATATTCTCATCCAACGGGTGGTCTCACAATCCCGTGTAAGGAGGATGTGTTCTTAAATGTCACTTCTCACTTGAAGGGACTATAATTCATGCTAAAGACCACTTAGATTAGATGAGAAAACATTGTACAGGAGGAAAATTTTTTTGTTCTTTTTCCCTTTTACCATTCCTCTGAGAGTGGAAAGATGTTAATGAGAAAGTTAAGAAAAGAGATTTGTTCAATATTTTAACTTTTGTTATATCTTTTTGAATTCTAATATTTGAGGTATTGCTATCGGATTAAAGTTAATTTGTGTAACCTGTCTAATTTAAGAGAAGCAATTCTTTTGGAGATGCTGACCAAACCTGGGATAATAAATGGTTATAATTAACTATTGAATGATATATGTTCCTGACCAAAACTTGGAATATCGACATATCTTTCCTGAACCTGCCTTAGCCATTTGCTAATTCTTGTAAAATATTTGGTTCATCTGATTCCTGTTTCTTTTTTACAATAGAACAAATATCTCCATAATCTAGTGGTTCTACCAATTCTATCTACACCTTAGACTCTGCCTCAATTCTCAAAGGTCATAGCTTCTTGCATTTGTCCTAATCAATCAGCATCATCACATGGCTTGTTAGTTGTTTCTGGGGCAACAACATGTGATAAATTGGTCATCCTCTGTAAAGTAATTTATAGTTGTTCACAACATTGATAAAGGAAAACCAGAAAAATCCTGATCCACATAAATTGATTATAGCAGCTATTGATTTCTCATCCACGGCTCTATTATTTCCTTCTTTCCTATTCATGTCTGTTTATCAGTGTCCCTCTTCCCTACTTATTTGAACCTTATTAGCTGTATGATTGATTTGACAATATTACTTACCTCTTTTTAGTTGACTGTCATAGTTGGTGTAACCTCAAAATAGCAGTTAGCATAGTTAGGGATAAATATCTGGTCCTATCTTTATGAAACAGTACACACAAACCTTCATGCTTCTCTAATTTATCCTCAAATATTTCCTAGGAAGACACTTAAAGCTAGTTTCGTATGGTTCAGGAATTAGAGTTGTAGAAGTTAATTATTCTGTCATGCAAAGAAAATCATTAGACAATCATACTCGGTATCAGGAGCTTGATCATTAGTCCTTGTGACCTGTATATTTTGTAGCTGTAAAATCATAGCAGAATTGTACACTCCTTAGTTTTGAAAATTGAATCATTAACTTCATTAGTATATTATCACTAGTTTTGCATAATTGCAGTCTTTTCAAGACAGTCTAGCAACAACAGCCCTTCTCATCTTCCATTATCCACCACCAACTTCTTGCATGAGGAATCGAGCAAGTTGATACAATATTCACGAGAGCCATGCACTTAAAAATAATTGCAAAATTTTCTCTATGATGAATTGGTGAAATTGCAAAAAATGGATAATTTAAATCAAATGCTGGTAACAGATTAATTTAACCTCCTCCTCTTGCCAGTTTGTAGTTATATTCTATGAAGTTCAGATATTTAGTACGGACATGGGACATGACAATTTTTTTTTTTTTTTAATTTAGTATACAATACACCATGGATATGTCCAAAAAAAAAAAAGTTTCTAAAACATGTTATATAGATGTATAACATTGATAAACAAACAAAATATTGATACATTTTCATTAACGCTGCGGATAATAAATATAATTTTTATCTATATCTTGATCAATCTTGACTAACTGCCAATAAAAAAATCATGGTAAAACTAAAAACAAATATTGACTCTGGACAAAATTTTATAATTAGAAATATTGTTAAATTTCTTTCTAATGCTAATTGAATAATTTACTCTCTCTTTTCTACGTTGTTATCGTAAAAAAAAAAGCTAGTTTTTAAATTTAGTTTATCAAGATAGAAAACTCTACCAAAAAATCACAACACCTTTATCATGTAAATATATTTTCACTACTTTTTTGTACAATAATACCCTGAATATTTTTCAGACAAAATTCAAAGGTCCCAGATATATTTGGAAACTAATTCATCCTTAAAAAAATTATATGCTTTTCGTATATGCGTGTTAAAGTATTTCAAAAGTATATCGTAAAAATATACAAGCAGTATATGAGAAATATAACTTAAAATAAAAATATTCGTTACTTTTCAGATATCTATAAACGGTACACACGAAAACTGCGGCAAATCTAATCCGAAAATGTTGCCTCCAACTACAATCATGTAACAGCTTCCAAGTAAGATATAGGTTGAATTTCAAGTACCAACAGCTATCAGTTTCCTTATGAACTAACAAAAGATTTGATATGTTTAGAGCTGTCTGAAACAAGTGAAGCAGTTGGTCATTACAGGTTCCTTTCACAGGCCTATATTCCAAATGGTGGGGCATGCAATCTTGTGTCATCATGTAATCCTCCAACGAAAGCCTTCAAGACAATACCATGTGATATTTAATGAACCTTGTCTCCCACTAAAGCCCATTGAACAACACATTCACCATCCAATAAGCTAGAGAAAAGTTTACACCCTCTATATATATATCCTTCACTGGTTTCATAAGCAACACAAATCTCTCTCATACTGAAGCATTAGCACTAAAGTTCACTGCTTCCTTCTACTACTTTGAAATCATTCTTTCGATCAGCAAGTGAAGCAACCAAAACACAATGGGTTTTCGCTTACCAGGAATTATTAGACGATCATCATTTAGTGCAAGCAAATCTTCTTCCAAGGTGTTGGAAGTTCCAAGAGGGTATCTAGCAGTGTATGTTGGAGAAAACATGAAGCGGTTCTTGATTCCAGTGTCCTTCTTGAACGAGCCTTTATTTCAAGAATTGCTGAGCGAAGCTGAAGAGGAGTTCGGTTATTACCATCCTATGGGTGGTCTCACGATTCCCTGCAAGGAAGATATGTTCTTGGATATAGCTTCTCGCTTGAACAGATTATAGTTCGCTCTACAAAAGCTCTTTATCCTAACATAGACTAGCTGAGGCAATTTTGTACAACAAGCTTTTGCTATCTTGTAAATGAATCTTTTAATACACCTGGGAACAAACCTAAACCTTGCGCCAATTTTAGATATATTGCGTATTACAGTTATTATGCAAGACTAGAATTTTTTGTCCATATAAATTGTTTTTCTTTTTCCTCGGCGAATGGAGATGTTAATTATTAAAGAAATTGATATAACATTTTGGCTTTTGCTATATCTCATTGAATTATTTAATTATAAGTTAATTTGTATAAGCTTCTTGTTTAAGAGCAGTTTTCTTTCTGTGATCTGATCAAAACCTGACCTACTATAACGATTATAATTGCTGCACTGTACCACCTTTGTCCGTGCGCAAAACTTGGAACACTAACATATCAATCCTCAAAAGCCTTATAGCTACTTGCCAGATTCTTCTATAATATGTGGCTCATCTTATTCCAGGTTTTCTAAGCACCATAGAACGGATATCCTTTCAATTTTGTGGCTCTTACCATTCTCTCGCCACCTAAAATCAGCCTTGCACTGTCCCAATCAATCAGAATCATCACATGGTTTGTTAGTTATTTTTGGGACAACCACAAGTGATCGATATTGGTAAGCCTCTACCAAAGTAATTTACAGTTGCTCACAAAATAATAATGGATATGAACATTTTGGTGAAAAAAAAAAAAAAAAAAAATAAAGATCCACATAGATTGAAGGATTTAGGTAAATTAACTACTATTTTTTCCCATACGCCAATAAAATTAAATCTACTTGGTAATTTTTTATTATTTGTTTTCTTCTAGAACATAAAATTAGACATGTCAGCTATACAGCTATTCGAATTTCTTTTTCATACAGTGAAGGAGTGACAAAACCAAATAATCAATTAACTGTTTTAGTGATTCATCAATTGTTGCGGGACAATCATAGTTTATAATACTGTAGCAAAATCTAATCCAAAAACTAAAAATAATAGTTAGAAATAATAATGTCAGTTAAAAATGTTGGATCCAAATACAATCATGTAACAGATTTCAAGTAGATTTCTTCATAATGGGAAATATAAGAATAAGCCCCTTTCAAAGAAGATTAAGAGGCTAAATTCAGTTTGGAAATACCCTATCTTTAGGAAAAAAATCGTTATAAACTAGCACAAAAAATAGAAAGCCAGAGCTGACTGCAGTTTCTTCACAACACACGAGGATGCATTTTCCATATGCATAACTATACAACCTCAGCAGCTAACATAATAAGATCATAAAAAGTCTCCTCTTGTCTCTGAAATCTGGATAATGTGACTTAATAGACAGTCTTTTCAGGGCAAGCTCCAGAAAGTTAACATGCAGAAAATATGAGGTATTTTCAAGCACGTGTGAAACAAAAGAACTATGCCATTACTATTGGCTACACAAGTGATATAGGTTCTCCAACAAGTACATATATATATATATATATATATATATATATATCTTTCATTTTCAAGTGATCATCATGTCTGTCCATTCTCAAGAATGTAGGGTCCACATTGAATAGCTCAATCTGCCAAGCAATCACCATCCTCGGTTAAGGCCTCTAAGACAATGCCATGTGATTTTTTATGAACCCGTGTTTGTTTGTATCCTCCTTGAACACGTCAGATGGCCCATCTACTGCAAAGTTTATCTATATATACTCGCCACTTCATTCACAAGGAACACAGCTCAATTTCTCTCTAAAATTGTTTGTGTTCTTTCTTCTACGAGTTCTCTGTCATCATTTCTTACTTTCCCGTGACGACTAAAACAACACAATGGGTTTCCGTTTACCTGGTATTAAACGAGCATCTAAGGGGGCTGAAATCCCAAAAGGCTATCTTGCAGTCTATGTTGGAGATAGTATGAGACGGTTTGTGATTCCTATATCATACTTGAACCAACCTACTTTTCAAGATTTACTGAATCAATCAGAAGAAGAATTTGGATATTCTCATCCAACGGGTGGTCTCACAATCCCGTGCAGGGAGGATGTTTTCCTAAATGTCACTTCTCGCTTGAATGGGATATAATTCATGCCAAAGAAGACTTATTAGAGTAGATGAGAAAAAAATTGTAAAGGAGGAGATTTATTTTGATTTTTCATTTTGTTTTCTTAACCTCTTACCTTTCCACAAAGAGTGGAAAGATGTTAACCAGAAAGTAATGAGAAGAGATAGTTACTATATTTTTGCTTCTGTTAGATCTCAATGAATCTTAATATTTTATGTACAGTTATATATCAATCTAACTTGATGCGTATAAGCTTGCTTCTAATTAAGAGCAGTAATTCTTTTTTGAAGATACTGACCATGCCTGACTTAATAGTAGTTATAATTGCAGCGCCATTGTACCACCTATATATATGTCCATGAGAAAAACTGGGAACACTAACATATCCTGAAAACAGCCTTATCCGCTAGCTAGGTAGATTCTTCTATAATTTTTGATTTCTTGTTTGCTCTGCACCATAAACAATTATCCTCTTAATTTTGTGTTTCTTCCCATTCTATCTTTACCTAAAATTCAGCCTCACTTCCTAAACGGGTCATTGCTTATCTCATTGTCCAAATCAACAGCATCGTCACATGGCCTGTTTATTATTTCTGAGGCAACAAGTGATATACTTAATTGTGGTCATTTTCTACTATAAAGTAATTTATTGTGGATCACAAATATAATAAAGTATATTTCCATTGGAGGAAAAGAAGAAAAATCCTGATCCACTATGAACCCAGTTAATTCATCAACTGTATGATAATTTTGGAAATATTATATACTGCATCTGGACCTCAAAATTGAAGTTAGCTGTGTTAAGAAAAAAATTTGGTGAGCGGAAAAAGAACTTCACTAAAGATGACACTATATGCCTATTAATCAATTCTTTCATGCAAAGAAAATGATGAAACAACCAGTATAAAAGTTCCAAATTTTTTAGATTAAGTTTAGGGGAAAATGAAAGGACAGTTGTTTCCAGGCTTTCATGAAAAGACTGAATTATGCTCACTATATAAAAGAACTATTAAATTTAATATCTCAATTCGGCATATTTACAATTTTGGTTCCAATCATGTACTATTTCTGCTTTGATTTTATATACATAAAAGTTTCATGTCAAAGTAGATAGCGATTGAGCACTGGATAAAGGTTCCGTGCTGGATCCTAATATTTATGATCCATTGCTATCAACTACCGTAGAACGCGTCACCAAGAAAGTTTTGTCAGCAATGTATGTTTGAATTGAGTTGCATTATCAATATGAAGAAAACACGTGCCATGTCTGCTGCATGTCTGCAAAAACGTAGAATTGAACAAGCACTAAATTCAACCTGAGCATATCTCATTTTATTTTACGTTGGTCGTGGGTACTCTATTAGCCATTGGTTCGAAAGTTGTGGGTTTCACTCTTAATGATCTTGTTCATAATTCTATAGGCATCTGAGACAACACCATGCGATCTCTCATCTCATGGACCCCATCTTGTAAGCGTTTCTGTGGGAAATATGGATTTCAAGAAAAAACTAAAATCTATAAATACATTATCTTCCCTCACAACCAACTCAACTCATTTTCAAACTCACCACAAAACTCAGCTACATTCTTCTAATATTTGTGAATTTTAGCTTGATCTTTCAGACATTTGAAATGGGTTTCCGTTTCCCTGCAATTAGAAGGACTTCATTTACTAGTAGCCCAGCATCTTCAAAAGCTGTAAATGTGCCAAAGGGCTATCTTGCAGTGTATGTAGGAGAGAGAATGAAGAGGTTTGTGATCCCCATGGCATACTTGAACCAACCTTCATTTCAAGACTTGCTGAGTCAAGCAGAGGAAGAATTTGGATACAATCATCCAATGGGCGGTCTCACAATTCCTTGCTCAGAAGATGTCTTTCTGCATATTACTTCTCAATTGGCTATAAGCTTATAGCATAGAGTACTGACATAGATTAGTAGTGAGACTGTGTACAGCAGGCTTCTTTTAGACTTGAACATTTTTTCTTTCTCTTTCTTGGGAAATTGTTAAAAACTTATTTATTAGAATGACAAATTCCAGAACATATTCTTTTTCACAAGCACAAAACCTATATTAATTTAAGTTACGATATGTGTTACATAGTTTTAGAAACGTCTTAATTGCAGAACACTTTAGTGTGTCACGATATTTGCTGCTGTAGGATTCAAACGTGACAAAGAAACAATGGAGAGAGGAAGATACCATTTTATTAAATAATAATCTGCTTAAATACAAAAATTTATAAAAGAAAAGTAATATACTTCCTAAACTTTGAAAGAACTGCTTAAAATAGGGCAAAGGGTATACCAATAATTGATCCAAGCAACGAATAATGTCCTAGTCACCAATTCATGTTATTTGAGAAGCTTTGAAAGAACTGGTTTTGATGAAGAAACTCACAAGGACTTCTTGTGCTATTCACATGGATTTGTCGTCAGAATAGTTGAGAAAGCACATGCTCTACATATTTCGAATTGAATAGAATGGTCATAGAATATGAAACCAGCAGTGACCCTTCAGTTGAGGTTCCTATCAGCCAGCTAGCATTCCGTGAATCATCATAATCTCCTTGTATTTAAAAAACATTTACTACCCTGTGTGTGACTGGACAATAGATCAACGTCACATTATGTACAGACTTATATTTCTAGACAAATAGCCAAATAGCCTTTCATTAGAGCCATATAATATGGACATGGAATAAACCAGTCAAAAAAGACATTAAACCCGTCAAATAATAGAGTCGAGTTTACCAATACTTTGTCCAATCAAGACTAGCTTTCCATTTTACATTTCTCTGATCCAGTGACAAATAATGTAAGATAACAACAAAAATATTGTATTCAAAACACTGTTCAAATGAAACATGTACACGACTTACACACTTGTTTGAATGACTCATCCAAAGTCATAGGGTATAAGAAGAGTGATTCATGAACCCTGTCCTCTGCCCCCAGTCTATGAAATCAACCAGAGGCTTTCATATAAATTTTTATAACTTCTGCCTATAACTTAATTGAGAGCAATCAATAGTTCAAAGTGCTAAGTTAATGATCAATATTGTTGTGACGGCTACTTAACCAATATTCTGAATAATGTCAGCAACATGTTCAGTACTTGGGATGAAGCAGCCGGACAGATCATACCATATGCTCAATTTTCAGTACCCTGAATACAGTTCGTTAACCAGTAGCCACGCCAAAAGACAAAATAAATTTTAAAATTATTAAAAATTTGTAAATGTTTTATTTAGATAAAACAAATAAATTTCTTAAAACTGATCAAATTATGGATATGATCTATATAAATACTCAATTTAACTACTCATATATATAACACGTAAGTCGATATCTAATTAATGTTAAAATTCAGTGTTGCAATATCTAATTAATGTTAACATTTTTTGAATTTAGATAAAATATGTTATATTAAAAATCTTATTAGAAGTTAAATTTAAGAAAAAACATAGCATAATTTTCTTTGAAAGAAATGCAATGGTGGCTTTTGATTTCAAACTCCTAGCAGCCAGTCAATATTCAAACATTTAATACTACCAAGAGTGGACTCCACAAGAGAACTCTTCCATCTCTAATTTAGTTAATTAACTTTAATTATAGCTTTAGTTTCTCGAATTTTGATTTTATTTTTAAAATTCTAAAAAATTATTCTAAATTTTTTAGTTAAGAAAATGTTTTCAAATTTCAAATATTATATTTTATAAATTAAAGTAATTTTTTTAAATCTCGGATAACAAAATAAGTTCAATTTAAAAACTAAATTCACTATAAAATTCATGAATTAAATTCATAATAAATTATATATAACTTTTGATTTTGTGAGAAAAAAAAAAGAAAAAAGCTTTGATCTGAATGTATTGTAGTTATTTAACTTTATATGTTTATGAATATAAAAATATATTCACTTGTTAAAGAGTTAAATAAAAATAATTTTTATGAATATTTATTTATCTATAATTTTTTAGATTATTTTTAATTTTAGAATATTAAAATTCTAATATATTTTAGATATAAAAAAAAAGGTAAAAAAAAGAGAGAGAGAGAGAGAGAGAGAGAGAGAGAGAAAATATTAAAGAGAATTCATAGTGACAAAACCAAAATCAGGATGGAAAGTGTTCAAAGCGTCTAAAGTTATGTCTCTTCAGAGACTAACTAATACTCCCAAAAATGAAATCAAACTAGCTTTAAATTTGATGATATATTTAGAACTATTTGAAACATGTGAAACACATACCATGACAAAAGACTTAAACAAATAACATGTGATCTTATTATATAACCAATAGTTCATTATATGAAATATTGTGTATAATGAATACATGATAATCCTTTCTATAATATATTCATTGACCAACCAAAGACAAATCAATAATTCATTGTCTTCAACATAAGTAAAGTTGACGACCATCATGAATTTCATTTGTTATTAGGCATAGACATATAATATCTGAGTTTTCCAGAAACTCGGGCCAATGAGCGCCCAACTATCAGCGTGAACAGATTGTAATGTTAAAAATTCTCTGTGCGACAATAATTTGTTACCGGAGGCTAAACTTATTTAATAAATTATCATCCGTCTTTAACTGAACAAGTTCAATAAAGAAAGGGATGCAATAATAATTGATTGAATAATGTCTTATTTACGATTAAATTTTATTTTGGTGTTTGAAAGAGTTGGTTGTGATGAAGAAAATCGCAAAACTTCCTGTGCACTTCACATGGATTTGTCGTCAAAATGTTGTGAGAAAGCACACGTTATTAATTTTGAATGGAGTCATCTTAGAATATGAAATCAAGTGACCATTGATTTTGTGTTTCTATTAGCCAGCTAGCATTCTTGAATCATCGAAGTCTGCTTCATTGACAGTAAAACATTGAGTACGGGAATTGCTATGTCGGAACAACTAGCCTTTCTCTTGAGCCATATAATACAGACACTGAATTAACCAGTCCAAAATAAATGGACAACCCGTTTTCTATTTCAGATTTCTTAGCTTCAGTTTTCCAATTGTACAGTATATATATCGATTGTGCCTCTATATTTCCTGGACAGTCCAATAAGTAATATCGTAAGTACTAATCATTACAGGTATGAAAAAACTATTTGATGCGTTCTAGAGCATGCTTGAAACATGTGAAGAACATCATTGCAAGTATCTTTCGTGTGCCTACTATTCAAACGGTGGGACATGCATTCTCATATCTCATCTCATCCTTCCTGAAAACTTTCACCATAATCTTTAAAAAACACTGTTTCTCACTAAACCCCACATTTATCTCAATTCATTCACCAACCAATGCGCTAAATATGTGGTTTCCAACATCTATATATACCCTTCATTTGATTCACAAACAGCACAGATCATTCTAATAGCTAAGCACAGTACTGCTGTCTTGTACTACTTCCTTGAGATCATTCTGGCGATCCTTGAGTTAAGAAACAGAAAACAATGGGTTTTCGCTTACCTGGTATAAGACGATCATCATTTAGTGCAAGCCAAACATCCTCTTGCAAGGTTGCAGAAGTCCCAAAAGGGTATCTTGCGGTGTATGTTGGAGAGAAAATGAAGAGGTTCTTGATACCAGTACTATTCTTGAACGAACCTTTATTTCAAGAATTGCTTAGCCAAGCTGAAGAGGAATTCGGTTACTGCCACCCCATGGGTGGTCTCACCATTCCATGCGAGGAGGACGTGTTCTTAAACGTAGCTTCTCGCTTGAACCGGCTATAATTCATGCAACAAACCATCCTAATCCCAAAATAAACTTGTTGGTATAACTTGTGCATTAGGCTTTTCGGTTTTCACTTTTGTTGTTTCCCTCATGTGAAAAAATGTCATCTGAGTATGAACTTTATCAAACTATATGTGTGAGTTATATATTTGTTGTTTTTCGAAATGGTAAAGACACAAGAACAAAACATGTTCTAGTTTAAGAGACACTGTGTGTCACATATCTACCTATATCAGTAATCTCTTGAATATATTCAAACCACCCAAAAGACAAAACTAGAATTTAACTCTACACCCTTCAACTTATGCAAAAGTTTATTTTCAGTTGATGACCGTGAAGAATGTGTTCCCTTTCCTAATTTTCATTAAACCTTATATATGAAGAAAGAAAGTCAAACTCTGGCCATGATGAATGAGATAGATTTATCTATTTAAAATTTACAATGTCTATAACTTATTTAATTGAAATGTCAATGATATGAAATTCTCTCACATATTCAGATGAAATTTAGCTTCTTTATTTAACTTTTTTCAAAACACGAGACCCCTTAAATTTTCTTAATCTTTGAGTTCTTGAGTGGTTTAATTTATCTTAATTATTTTAGTTACTATTTAAATTGTTTTTCCTTTCAACCTAACTGCATAAAGATGCAACATTAGAACAAATATATCTTTAAACGACTAGATAATATTTTTACTTATTTTTATTAATGACGAGAATTCATTTTCATATAATGGCTAAAAGGTTCAGCCACCACAAATATAAGAAATAATAAAATATTTTATTTGACAAAATATCGTATGCAAAACTAATCGTTCAACTTTTTTACGATATAAAATATATAGAAATCGCCATTTTATAAAATTTAAAACAATTTAATTAATTTATATACCCACATGACACACGGATTAATATTTATTCAGACTTGTTAAACAAAATTGTATATAAAAATTTTAACAAATGAAAAGAAAATGGAAGGTACAACAAGTTGTAACTGAAAAAAAAACTGTAATTAACTTTTATAGAAATATCTCATTTAACTTATTTTATGAGATAAATTATTTGATTTTACATTTTCATTAAATAAATAATTACAAAAAGTTATCTAAATAAAATATTATCACATATTATAGTTTTAGCATTTTATTTCGTGAATGATTTATT